TCTGCTCCTATGATGCTGCTTGGCCTGCTGTGTTCATCCAGCCCTGCACCTTGTTGTCTCGGATTCTCCAGCATCTGCAGTTCCTACTATCTCCTCTTCATCGTAGGAACATTGTTTTTCTTGATCTATTTTAATGTCCTATGATCTATATTAAAATTAATGAGTTGGATGTGCGGGATACAATTTCAAAATTTGAAGATAACACAATCTGAAAGTATTGGGAACTGTGTGGAGGGTAGTGATAATTGGTGATAGTTTATTCAGGAGAGTTCCAACACATTGGGCACATGCAGAGGTAAAGTCACAAGAGAGCAGGAGCCTCACATACCTGCAAACACCTCACCTTCTTGTTCCTTTGAGCACCACCTGTCCTTGCACGTGGCAGAGTCTGAAAATTGTACATCGGACTTATTAACCATTTCAGAACCCATCAAACCCAAGCAGAAACAGGCCATCCTCAATCCTGATGGACTGCCTAAGAGGACAAAGACAGCCTATTGGAATGGACAACATATAGCAAATGAAATTTAATGCAGAGACATGTGAAGTCAGACATTTCGGTAGTAAGAATGAAGGGATGCAATTTCATATGATAGGTCCAATTCTAAAGTCCTCCAGAGAAGAGGGTCCTGGGAGTATATGTTATTGAATGTGGCAATAATGGGAAGGTGATTGCTAAGGCATCCCAGACTGTGTAAACAGAAGCAAAGAGTACAAAAGGTAAGGAAAGTTATGGTCAACCTTTATAAAATACTGGTTTAGCCCTACCTGGAATGCTGTGTCCCATCTTGGGCATCACACTTTCGGAAGTACACAAAGGCAATGGATAGGATGTAGTAAATGGTTCTGGAGTGAGGGACTTCAGTTACATGGATTCACTGTAGAAACTAGGGCTGTTCTCCTTAATGATTGTCAAATATTTTGAAGAGTTCAAGATCCATAGGGCGTATAGATAAGGGCAAACTGTTCTCATTTGCAAAAGGATCAAGAAGCAGAGAACACCTATTTATGGCAATTGGCAAAAGAACCAAAGGCGACATGAGGAAAATTGACTGATGTGCACCAAGTGGTTAGGATCTGGAATGTACAGTCTGAGCATGTGGTGTACATGAATTCAATTGTGGATTTTAAAGGAGAATTGAATAATTAACTGAAGAGAAAAGAATTGCAGAGCTGTGGAAAAGGATGAGGGAGTGGGACGTGATGACTGGCTGAGTTGCTCTTGCAGAGAGACTGCACAGAGACAAAGGTTTGAATGGCTTCCTTCTGTACCATGACCATTCTATGTTTCAGTGACTATGAACAAAAATACAAAAGAAAAAGCCTCCTCAGCCATCTCACACTTCAATAGAAAATCCTGGCTTTGTTTCTGCACATTAATCACTCTGCTAATATAATAGCTATGTTGTAATTTAACTCAAGTTTTGAAATTTGTTTTTCTTAGATGTTATTTTAAAAATAATTTAACAATTTCCTCGTAATTTTGGTTATGGTAATTAGTTACAGTTTGCAGGTTGAAATTTTCCTTTAAGGAAGTAACTTTTTAATACAGTGTTTATTGATCTTTAGCTTTAATCATTGTTGGAATATATTGAGCACTAAGACAAAAGACAGAATTAAGAATTAACAATGACATTTTAAAAAAACTTTTAGGTTCTATGCTCATTCTTCCATCATCAGTGCTTCGAGTTGTGGGGAATGTCTTGAATTTACTGTAATAGGCTAAATCAAGTTAATTCGCTACAAATCTTTTATTGTGAGCCTTCACTGTATGAAAACATTTGCATTATGAAGCAGCTTCGAGGTTACAGAAATGAGCTTTTCTACTTCTCCTGGCCAATCCACTGAAAATGCATCAGCTGGGCTGCTAATCAGGATTTATAGGAATCTGGTTTGTTAATTCACCTATGTCTAACTGATAGAGAAAGAGTGCTTTGATTAATCACCAACTCCATTGTTAAGTCAGGCAGTCATCAGAAAAGTTGTTTCAGAGATAGTAGGAACTGCAGCCGCTGGAGAATCTGAGATAACAAGGTGTAGAGCTGGATGAACACAGCAGGCCAAGCAGCATCAGAGGAGCAGGAAAGCTGACGTAGGGTCTAGGCCCGAAACCTTGTTATCTCAGTCATCAGAAAAAGGCAGGATGAACTGAATGGTCCATGGTCTATTTCTATCTACAGGTCCAATCAACATTACAAGTCATTTTAGTTTAAGAAGAGGTGCCAGGTTTTGTCTGACCACCAGCAACTTCAAGTTGTCTTAGGCATCTTTTCAATGCGCCGATTGTGTTAATCAATCAGGTCAATAAACCTTTACAAATATGAGGTTAGCGTAGCATTAAGGGGTTTTACCAATAGCAGGAAATAGGAACAGGAGTAGACCTTACGACCTCTTGCGTTTGCTCTCCCATTCAATTTCTCAGCCGTGCCCCATATCCCTCAATGCCCAGAGTGACCAAAAACCATTCATCTCAGCCTTAACTACACTCAGTGACAACCTTCTGGGCTACAGAATACCAAAGATTCACAATAAGACTGTAGAATATAAATCAGCTGGAACAGTTCCCTAGAACGAGTGAGATTCTGATGTGAGGCAGGCCTGAGTAGGTGCATTATGTAGTTTTTAGCTGTTTATGCAGAAATAGGGAGGAGAAGGGACAGCCTAGAGGTCCCTCTCGCTGTCACTAGGCTTTGTGTATCCCATTTGCAGAACAACATCAGAAGAAGTCATCGAGTAACTCTTGCTTTTGGGGAAAGGTCGATAAGAAAAATGAACAAAGAAAGTAACAACAAGTTGCAGAAACAGAAGATTTTTTCAGAATGTAATTAAAATGTCATGTTCAATTCTCACTGTTTCTTTGTGTTGCAATGGGATATTTCTGAGCAACTGTACCATAGAACTCAGATCCTTACTGCACCTGTTTCTGCTTTCAGTTCTGGATTATCCCCAGCATCCTTGGCAGTTCCATCCTCTGTGGCCTTTCAGACGACCAATGGGAAATGATCTCAGCATGGATCTACGGGTTTGGGCTGTGTGGCCTTTTTATAGTCTCCACTGTCTTTCACACCATCTCCTGGAAGAAAAGCCATTTCCGGTAAATGCTGTTTTGTCACAATTTGAAAACTTCTATTTGCTATTTGTGCTTCAGGCTATCAGTTATGGAGTGAAAAAAAGTGTTACTTTAGAGGTGCTGATGAGGCTGGGTGCTGCAGGATAATACCATGTATAAAATTTAACAGACCATGTGGAATTAGGCAGCACAAGTCTGTCAGAGAATCATAAATATACAAACTATCACCAACACCAGTTTCCTTCCAGACCCTTTCCCTGCACAGATGCCAAATTGTCACTGAAGAAGAACCCAGCATTTTTTTAACCTTTGAGATCCAGAAGTGCTATCACTGTTTTTCCCACCACTGAATCTGTGGTAACAATGTCCACCTATTAGCTACCATCAGTTAATCACAACAAAAACAGAAGTTGCTGGAAAAGCTCAGCAGGTCTGGCAGCATCCGTGAAGTAAAAAAAAAATCAGAGTTAACATTTCAGGTCCAGTGACCCTTCCTCAGAACTGACAGTAGCTGCAAAAACATCAGTTTATATGCAGAAAATATGGGGGCGGGGTGGGGTGGATGAAGGAATTGGGAAGGTTAGCGGCTGAAGAGAGAGAAGAGCAGTTGGATAGACAAAGGAGTTGATACTGCATTCACTGCTCACAATGTGGCCTCCTCTACACTGGGGAAACAAAGTGTAGACTGGGTGACCGCTTCGCAGAACATCTACGTTCTGCTTGCAAAAAAGAACCCAAGCAACCTGTTGCCTGCCACTTCAACACACCACCCTGCTCCCTGGCCAACATCTCTGTCTCTGGCTTGCTGCAGTGTTCCAGTGAAGCTCAGCACAAGCTGGAAGAACAACACCTCATTTTCCACTTGGGGACCCTGCAGACCTCTGGACTCAATATCAAGTTCAATAATTTTAGGGCCTAAACTCTCCCATGCCTTAGCCTCCTAACCCACACACCAGGCCTTGTTATCACATAACCTGCCATTACACACTATGTGTTGTCAGTCACTAATAGTCCCCATTAACAACTGTTCACCCTCCCAGCCTGATCGTTAGCAACTCCTTTTTCTATCCAACTGCTCTTCCCTCTCTTCAGGCTTTATCCTATCTTTTACTCCCTAACCTACCCACCCCCATTCGCTTCACTTACACCGACACTTTCCCAGCCACCATCAGTTCTGAGGAAGGGTCACCGGACCTGAAACGTTAACTGTTTTTTCCTTCACAGTTGCTGCCAGACCTGCTGAGCTTTTCCATCAAGCTCTGTTTTTGTTCCTGATTTACAGCATCCACAGTTCTTTCAGTTTTTGTTTCTAAACCAGTAAATCACACAAGTTTTCCAATTGAATACCCTACGTGAAATGCCCATCAAGGGCAATGCAGACCATCAAAGGCGAGGGAGAGGGGAAGGGGGCTAATCAAAACTGAGTTGGAGGGTGAAGATAAAGCACTGCATGCCCTTCTGTGCCCACCTCTCTGTAAAGGTTTCAAGATTATTAGTGGACACTATGTGTCCTGTCTCCCAGGACACCTGGGCACAAACATAGCTGTGGAAGAGGGAAAGACAGTCAACAGCTAAGACTCCCCTTCATAGCTTGGACCTTGCAATGGGTTAATAGAAACCAGCTCTTAAATCCAGAGGCCAATGAGCATCAACTGCTCTCAATCAACTGTGGAGCTGTTTTGCTTGACCCTTAAATGCACACACATTTCTAACACTGATATACAGTACTGTTCTCACATTCCCAAGAGCTGAGCAAATGAGTTGAAATAACTGCACAGAGGCCGGGCCCTATCACCAAGTCACCCTTTATCTCCTAGTGTACAGTACACTGACTGTGGCCATTCAGCTCAGAGTCAGTCCACAACTGAGGAGATTTGGTTTACAATCCAATAAATACAATTCAAGTTATACAGAAAAAAATCAAACCTTGTGCATTTGACAATCCAAGTTATTGCACTCTTTCAAAAAGAAAGTTTGTTTTTCTCCAAAAGTAAAAATGCATTGCAATGCATTCAAGTGACGCCTGAGGTTTGAAGCTCAATTCACATGTCATAGACAAAACTTTTGGCCTACGTACTGAGCTGCCAGCCTAACACATGAAGGCTCAGTCCACACATGAAGGCCCGGTCCAGGGCTTACACACTGAAACAATGGCACAGAGGCTGGGTCCCATCACCAAGTTACCCATTATTCCTCTGTTTTCTTAGTGCACAGTACACTGACCATGGTCAGCCAGCTTGGAGTCAGCCATCAACCGAGGAGATTCTAATCTCCTGGTTACATTGTTCAGCCAAGGCTTTCCTGATTGGCCCTGGTTAACAACTCCAACCAAGAACCTCATAGTCAAAGAGGTCAACCTGGTCCCAATCACTACACCAGTCAAAACTGAGAAATAATGAAAGTATCTCCTTTTAGGTCTATAATTAATACTAAGCTACATAGATACACAACTATGCTTCCACTTCTAGGTTAGATCAATTGCAGACAAAGTCTTTCCCAAAACCCAGCACTGACCAACTTGTTTGACACTGCATCCCAGTGGGACAGGAGTAAAGTGGGAAGGGTTGTTTGCTGTTTGGAGATTATGATGTGACTTTGGAAAATGCAGGCTCCATCCACACTTCTTGAATTGCTAACACCACTGGCCGTACTGCAGGATGTATAGTATTATCCTGGCCACAGTGTCAATGGATGGAAACTAGTCATTGAACTTAATGGTTTTTTGGCCAACATCCCTCAATCAAATCATAAATCATCAACTCACAAGGAAATTCGTTCAAATGATGACTGCATTTAATTCAGCTGATGAAGCAGCCAACTTTAATGATTTTTATGTAAATAAGACCCCTGACAAACTACGTTAACACGGGGCAGATAGCAGAAACATAGTTTAGATAATATCAAATATCAAAATGATATGTGTAAAAGAAAAATACTGGGGATCCTGGAAATCTGAAATAAAAACAGAAAATGCTGGAGAAACTCAGCAGGTCTGGCAGCATCTGTGCAGAGAGAAACAGAGCTAATGTTGAGTCAGATATGAATTCTTCAAAACAGGACAGAAAATTCAGAATTCAGAACAGAAAATTGTGTTGTTTGGTGGGATTGAGGTGAGGCCTGGGAGTTAAAGTAGCCGAATTTTTGGAGGAGTAGGTAAATTTCGAGAAAACAGCTGACATCCTAACTGTCTAAATCCCACCCGAGTTAAATCATACACAATGACTTTGAATGAGTGGACTGAATTTTACTTTGATCCTACGCATAAAATCCAGGAGTATGCTCACCTCCAGTTGACAGGCTCACGCTGCTGTTGTATAATTGGTCAGGTGTGAGGCAGGTCCTCCATCCCTCGACAAGGGAAAGTCTCACTTCAGAGAGCTAATCTGAGACTAGCAGCACCACCGGGAGTGGTGGCCAGTACTGGTATTGCAGTGAGGCCAACGAGAAAGTGTGCTGGATTGAAGTTGGCATGGGAGATAAATCTGGTTGTGTCATCAGGAGAAACTGGCAGGGCTCTGATGAAATGGGCAGTAGAGCTGAGGGGTGGGGGAAAGGCAAGGGGAAGGAGTCGGGTAAGGCCTTGGAAGGGGCCTCTCATGGGTTCAGAGGTTAATTTGGCAGTAGCATGAGCGGGCAATAATTAACCTCCTGGTGGGCAGGCCGCCTGGCAGTGTTCCCACTCCGGTATAATTATAGGCATGGCACCCACTACATTTTACAACTCCTCTTACCTGCCATCCCAACATTGAGACTCTGTGTGTGTGTGTGTGTGTGTGTAAAGTTGGTATATATGCCCCCCCTTGCCCAGGAATGGACTAGTAGGTGCTGCTTAAAATCAGGCAGATGGCAGGGATGTTGTGCTACCACCTAGCCATCTCCACTGGAATTTACACAGCAGCAGGGTCATGGTCAGGTAGTCTGCTTGCCAATTGAAGCCACTCAAAGGCCACTTCTCACTGACGCTGGTAAACTGGCAGTGGGCCGAGTGGTCTGTTTGGACACCCTGTGCCAGGTGAAGCCCAATGGTAATCACTGCTCCCAATCACTCCTGCACCTTCTGTCTCCCACCCATCCCCACCCCAACAGCCTTCCAAATACGGCTTTCCAATTCCGCACGCACCCCCCCCCCCCACCACGTATCACAGTGAAGCCCATTCAACGCACCTCAGGATCTGACCTTCATCAGTGCTCCTGGTCATGGATTGGCTGAAACAGCTACTCTTGGCATAGACTGAAAAGCTGCCAGGAATGTGGATTGGTCAGAATGTTCGGGAGGAGTTGAGTGGGGGGAGGGTGATGCTGTGGGGTGAGGGTGTCTTTCCACATGGGACAGAGTGCACAGTGTCCGTAAGTGTCCACCGTAACACAGTCATCCCCAGTGCAGACAGTACCCCCGACATTGCTGAGATGTGGGGCCAAGGCCACCATCTCTGTAGGAAAACTGTCAGCCTATGTGTCTCAGAGATAACATAGTGTGGAGCTGGAGGAACACAGCAGGCCAGGCAGCATCGGAGGAGCAGGAACGTTGACGTTTCGGGTCGGGACCCTTCTTCAGAGATGGGGGAGGAAGAAGGGAGCTCAGAAATAAATAGAGAGAGGAGGTGTGGCTCAGTCCAGAATGCCTAACCTAATGACTAGGCTCAACAACAGAAGAGTCTGCCCCATATTTGTTTTTGTCTGCGGTTGTGGATCTGATTACGAATCACTTTCATCTGAAGTATCCCAACGAGAGCCAACAATACAGCTCGAGTGATGCTGTCCAACTTACTCTCTGTGTGTATTAGAGTACAATGTAAACCTGTGCTGCTGGACTGTACCCAGTGTAATTCTATCCAACTGTTTCCTTTCTTTATCTAGAACAATAGAGCATTGCTTCCATATGTTTGACAGGGTGGTGATCTACTTCTTCATTGCTGCGTCTTATGCCCCCTGGTGAGTCAAACAAAGAACTACTGAGACATGAATTTGTAACAACACTGACCACTCTGGCTAGGAAAACTAAATAAAAGAAATCTCAAATGTATTTCATTCATGCCACTAACTTTAAGATGTGTCAAAGGCCTTCACATCATTTGAATTCTTTTCTAGGATGTTGTTAAGAAGGTGAACACAGCAATTGTTCCCCAGCAGCAATAAAATTAAAAGGATAATGGTCGGTCTGCTTTAGTGAGATTGACCGACTGAGGACAACTGGTCAATGTGGCAGGGGAAACCCTTACTTTTCACCATGGCAGCACTCAGACAGCATTCCCAATGATGCAGCACCACCTATATGCTGCATTAGAAAGGTCAGCAATTTTTAATAATTCACTCAGAGGCTCTGGGCATCACTTACTAGAGCAGCATTTAATGCCCATTCCTGTTTGCCTTTGAGAAGCTGGTGATGAGCTGCCTTCTTGAACTGCTACAGTCCACATGCTGTAGGTAGGCCCACATTGCTGTTCAGGAGGGAATTCCAGGATTTTAACCCAGAGACAGTGAAGCAACAGCAATATATTTTCAAGTCAAGATGGTGTGTAGCTTGTAGGGGAACTTGCAGGTGGCGTTCCTATGTTTCTGCTGCCCTTGTCCTTCTAGGTGATAGTGTTCAGGGGTTTGGAAAGTGCTGTCTAAAGAGCTTTGATGAATTTCTGCAGTGCTTCTTGTAGATAGTACGCACTGCTGCTACTGAGCATTGGTAGTGGACAGAGGAGACATTTAAAGGTGGTGGATGGAACAGGTGACAATCAAACAGGCTGCTATGTCCTGTTTGGTAACAAGCTTCTTGAGTGTTGTTAGAGCTAGACCCATCCAGCTAAGTGGAGAGTATTCCATCACACTCCTGACTTGTACCTTGTCGGTGGTGGATGGACACTGGTGAGACTGAAAGTGAATTAGTTATTGCAAAATTCTGAACATTTGACCCATTTTTGTAGTCAAAGGATTTATATTGCTAGTTTCATTCAATTTCTGATCAGTAGGAACTCCCAGGATTTTGATAGTGGGGGATTCAATGATGGCAACACCATTAAATATCAAGGGGCGGTGGCCAGATTGTCTCTTATCAGAGAAGGTCAATTCCTGGCATTTGTGTGGTGTGAATATTACTTGCCACTTGTCAACCCAAGCCTGGATATTATCCAGATCTTGTTGCATTTGAACATGGACTGCTTAAGTATCTAAGGAGTCACAAATGGTGCTGAACATTGTGCAATCATTGGCAAACATCCCCACTTCCTCTGATGGAGGGAAGGTCATTGATGAAGCAGCTGAAGATGGTTGGGTCTCGGACACTACCCTGAGAATCTCCTGCAGAGATGTCCTGGAGCTGAGATGACTGAGCTACAACAACCACAGCCATCTTCCTGCCAGGTATCACTCTAACCAGCGCAGAGTTTGTTCCCTGACATCCATTAATGCCAGTTTTGCTAGGTCTCCTTGATGCTTCACTTGGTCAAATATGACGTTGATGTCGAGGGCTCACCTATGGAATTCAGCTCTGTTGTCCATGTTTGAACCAAGGCTGTAATGAGATCAGGAGCTGGGTCGCCCTGGCGGAACCCAAACTGGACGTCACTGAGCAGATTATTTCTGAGCAGGTGGTGCTTGATAGTGCTGTTGATGACACCTTCCATCACTTTACTGATGATCAAGAGTGGACTGATGGGGCAGCAATTGATCATGTTGGATTTGTCCTGCTTTTTGTGTACAGGACGTAGCTGGGAATTTTAGGAATAAAGTGTATTTTTGAAATAAAAAAAACGTTCTCCAAGGTCCAGGACTACGTGCTGAGGGACGCACTAAAGCTTCGGGCAGATGCTGCCAAGGTGCAGAGGGGAAAAACCATTGTCTGAGGTCTTCCTGCTGAAGTTAAATAGGGTCCATTCAGTTATCGGACTGCTCAATGACTCAAATGTATGTAAATATGGTCTTGTACAAGTAAGAAATGGCTTGGGCTTGTTTGCTGGATAGAGTCAAACGCTCATGTTTGTTACTTCATATACTGCTGTATGGAACCAAACTGCTTTAGTGACTATGTATGTATATAAAGATATTTTTATGAATAAAGTATATTTTTGAAATAAAAATTTCCACATTGTCGGGTAGATGTCAGTAATGTAACTGTACTGGAACATCATGGCTTGGGAGTGACAAGTCCTGGAGCACAAGTCTTCAGTACTATTCCCGGAATGTTGACAGGGCCCATAGGCCTGTTTCTGGCATCCTCAACTATTTTTTGGTATCATATGGAGGGAATTAAATTGGCTAATGACTGATGTCTGTGTTGTTCGACACTTCAGGAGGAAGCTGAGATGGATCAACCACTCAGCAACTCTGATAGACGATGAGTGTAAATACCTTACTGCTGCATTTTGTATTTACGTGTTGGCCTCCCCATTGTCAATGATGGAGGTATTTATGGAGCTCACACTTCCTATAAGTTGTACACCACCATTACTGAGCTCTGGCACGACTGAGACTACTAAAGCCCATCAGATTCTCAAGGGTGGGATGTCCCATCCATTTAGGGCTGGAGGCCCAACCTCAGCCTGTTTACGCCCAGTGTGTGGTTCCTGTGGGCCAGGACTTTCAAAAGTCTATCCGTTTGGAACAGTAAATCCTTGGATTCCAGCCCTGATCCCCTTGCAGCCAAATCTCTGTGATACCCAACATCATACCCACCAATCTCAATCTGTGCTACAAGCTCATTTACCTTGTTTCATATACTGTGTACATTTAAGTATAAGACCCTCAGCCCTGTGTTGACTGCCCCCCTTCTCATAGTTCCCTTATCTGCTGTGCCTGAAGTTAAATTCCTGACCCTTTCCATACTCTCTGTTCTATTAGGTGTTATGGAAATTTTAACCTCTGCTGCGCCCTCCCCCCTTTAGCATTTTCCATAATTTTCCATGTAACTGCATTTACTAACTTCTAAACTTAGTTTCAGCCTGATGCTGAATCATCCGTAAGGAACAGAGCCCTAAAGACCAGAAAGTTTCCACGTTCAATCCCTGATCTTTATTGAGTTAATTTACTTTAGCCAGGACAGTATTCGGGGTCGTACAGTTGACCTGAATGGTGTTGGTGGGCTTGAATGAGGGAGAAACCCTTCAGCTTTGGTTCATGCCCCTGCTATCTGGTAACTCTTGTTGGAAAAGTGTTTGTGCATTGACTCCAGGCAAGCAGTGAATGCAGCTTGGCTGCAGTGTCAAAGTGGCTACCATCGCTCACTGCCTGGTTTAAGCATTGGATTTGAAGCTGTGAAACACATTGGAGGGAGGGGATTTGAGCAGAGACTGTATGGAGGAAAAGGAATTGATCAAAGTGGCAGGACTAGTGAAATGTTAAAGATTAATGGACTAGTAATGGCACAATGTCTACGTACAAAATGCACATGTATGAGATTTCTCTACCTGATATTGTGGGGTGGATCTTGACTTGGTCCAATAGCATAAAAAAGGTATTGTGGATCGACAGTCTGCTTCACATCTCTCCTGATTGACTTCAATGACAATAACAATGGGGTGAAATATATAACAGCTTACCAATTCACTATTCCATCCACCACTGCTTTACTATGTCAAGATCTATGCTTTAAATATGCCCGTAACTCATTTTAAATTTTTAGAAATGCCCAGGTTCACACTCTGATTAAAATATAACTTTTTATTGCTGCGTTAAGTGTATACAATAATATCCAACAGCTTCACTTTGGAACAAGATGAAGAACCAAGTGAAGTGAATTGTGTGCAAAAGATAGCGCTCTCCTTATTTTCTCCATTTACTTCGAATGTTGACTGAACTCAGAGAGTGAACGGAAAGAGACATTTTTTTCAATTTGTGAGCAGCCACCAGTGGAAAGAATGCATGATTTATCAAATTGATCTCAGTAAAGGTTTCAGGTTAAGTTCGCACTTGCATTGAATTTCCAGTAGGAGTTGGGAGTCTTGTTATACAGGGGGTAGTGTTCCTTCCTCTCAGACAGCAGCTCCAATTTCAAGTCCCACCTAATCATCTGCTGGCCATGGAGATCTATCACAGTGCAGCCAAAGGAGTTGATTATTGATTTGTAAATTCCTCCAACATGCCCACGGTAGGTGTTAAGAGTGGAAGAGTTTCCTGGCCAGCCAGAACCATGTGGTAGCAGCATTGCAACAGGCACCCACGTTAAAGGACTCCATGTGCAGATTCTTGCTATGGGCAAGTGCCAAAGAACTACCAAACACACTGTAGAATATCTTCCTCATCTCTGATTTAGTAAAATATTCACAGGACAATAATGTATGCACTGTAAACAAGGAAATGCAAATGGAATTCCCTCCCTAAGGGAATTGTGGCCCTAACTACAGCAGGCAGACTGCAGCGGTTCAAGAAGGCAGCTCACTACCACCTTCTCAAGGGCACCTAGGGATCAGGCAATAAATGCTGGCCAGCCAGCAATCCCCATGTCCCATGAGATATTTTTAAAGATTGTGAATTAATTTGCTAAATAAAGCGGGGTTTAAGTATGCTGCTCGGCAGTCTTAGTTCTGCGCTGTGTTCAGCATTTTATTTTTTTCTCAGGGATGAGTTTCTTGTAAAGATATCATGAGACTGAGACAGGCTGATCAGTTCACCACAGCTTATCCCACCTGAGTCAGTGGGCACTTTGGCTGCCTCAAGACTCAAGGCTCAGTTAAGGGGGCAGTGAGAATGGCATGGAAAAAATAGGATATGTTTGGGGACAACATAACCATGCAAGGTAAGGTGGGTTAAGAACACCAGCCCCAGCTACAGTCTTGGTGTTTCTTAAGTTATTCCATGACCTTTATCTCCCCTTTCCTATTCCAAAAGGTATTATTAGGATTTTCTCACTGTTTATGACTTAATTTGGAGGTACAGATTTATTATTCCTGGCCGTCACTGTTAAGCCCATCCAAATGCCCATTCTTTTCCTTGACAGCCTGTGTGGTGAGATTTGTGATATTCAAATATGGAAGGCATCAAAGCTGAGCCCAATCCCATCGTGACTCAATATCTCAGTTTGTACTTTCCAGCTGAGATCCCAGATTGTAAAAACAATGATCGTCACTGTCGTCCAGGCTGAGATCAGCTAACTCATGAAAGAACAGAGATTGAACCTGAGATCTTTCCAACTTCCTACATTACAACAGTAACTAAACCTCAAAATGCATTTGTTACAAACCACAAAAGGATGTCCTGACATAACAGGAGGCACCATATAAATGCATTTATTTCTTTTTTTAACAGTTGCATGACTCAATACTGACACCATGTGGTGCATTTGCCCTCTCTAAATAAAAGGAGCCAGAGGGGAATAATGTGAGCTCTGAGGCAGCAACAAGTCAACTGCTATCTTAGCATGAAAGGCAACAAAAAAGAAGCACCACAGGACCATAATGTTTTCAACACAGCAAGTCATTCAGCCCATCAGATCAATACCAGCTCTTTATTGCAGCAACCACGCTAATGTGTACTTTATCTTTCTCTGCTTCAAACATTGACACATAATTCTCCAAAAGTAATACTGTGAAACACTGTGTCCAAGCATTCCCGTATTCTAGAACTCTCCGAATAAAAATACTGCTCATAACATTTCTCCTCACTTCCACACTGATCATTGAATATTTAATGCTTTAATAGATCCGGTGTTTGCAGGCTATTGCTGATAACTTTTCTTATACCTACTACTTATAACCACCCTGAAAAAAAGCTAACACAATTGCATTTATCAACTATCCTAGCACTGACGGGCCTGATGCTGTGTGCAGTCAGAGAATGTGTGACAACAACCCAACCGTGGATCACTGAGTGACATCAGTGTCACAGCAGCCTCTGAAATAAACATCTGATCCATTCACAAGATCATGGCTTTGCCCCTTTTGTCAAAGTGAACTCAGTTAATGTGCTGCTGTTCCCTTCCATAGGCTGAATCTTCGAGAGCTGGGCCCTTGGGCATCTCACATGCGCTGGATCATATGGATAATGGCCTGTGTAGGAACCATCTATGTGTTTCTGTTTCATGAACGGTGAGTACCTAGACTGAAATTGAAACAGAAATAAAGGGCATACTGAGGAGGAGCTGGTATTTACTTACAACTGCAGTATAGTTACCACCTATTTGGTTAAAACTCACAAACAAAGTAAATCTTTTGCACCAAACCGTGGAATGCTAGATATTGATGCTAACCCCAGTTTCATTCCATTTGTCCCTATAATCCACTATTTCCCAACCTGAATTGGTCCTGCAGGAAGAGGCAGTAGGTAGCAGCACACACTGACATATTAGTTTAGCACTTAACGGGGACCAGAACACCTTCTCACCCAGTAAATAGTGCAGATTCCACTTGGTGGGGAGAGTTAAGGGTGCAGTATTTAAAAGAGCTAAGATTTTAAAACAACTATTCTTTTAAAGTTTCAGAATTCTGGCATATATTACAGTCAAGCCATGTGTTAACCCTTCACATATATCTGAGGCGCTGTTTGGAAATGAGAAGAAGAGTAGAATATAAAAAACAAAATATAGATCAGGAAATATTGTAAGTGCAGACAACACTCTCCCCTCCCCTTCCCAGAATGACATACATGGACATCAATAAACACTAGCTGACAGAGTTGCCTGGAGCAAGAAGAACATGTGCTGAATTTTAAAAGAACCAGGCATCTAAGTGTGAATTCTGGCACTGGATGAGTTACAGTTCATAGGCACAGAAGGAGGCCGTTCAGCTCCTTAAACTGGTTCTACCATTCAATCAGATCACAGCTGATTAATTCCATTTACCCTCCTTAGTTCCACATCCCTCAATACACTTGCCAAACACAAATCTACTAATCACAGTTATGAAAGTTTCAATAACTTCCCCTTCTGCCTCAAAACCTTTTGAATAGATGAGTTTCAGATTACCATTTACTTAATCCCTTAACAGTACATCTCCTAATTTTATGCTTCTGTCCTCTTTGTCTTGAGCTCCCAACAAGAGAAAATAATTCTACTGTATCTCTTCTAGCAGTTCTTTTAATCATCTTCAAATACATCAATCAGGTCACCACAATCTTCAGTACGCAAGGGAATACAAGTTTAGTCTATGAAAGATGCCCTTATTATGAATCCAATGTGCCTTTACCCTGGTAAATTCTGTACCACTCCTTCTTTAAGGCTGGTATATCATTCCTAAAGTGCAGTGTCCAAAATTGGATGCAAATTTTCAGATCAGGTTTAATCAGCTCCTTTACATTGACGGTCACTAGGTCACCTATGATTAGGGTTCACATTGAATTAGGGGTTGGAAAATGCAGACTGACAGTCCTCAATCATCAACAGTGATGCATCTGTACTGATAGAAGATAGTTGTTACAATCATTTCAGCAAATATAGTACAAATCTTTAAAACTGTTATTGCAGTCAAACAGAACATTGAGCTCATTGCTATACAGACATATTGCTGGGGATTGAGAACACATTTTTACATCTACCGTCCAGTGTTAAAATGCAAGTTCTCCCAAGTCACACGGTGTAGGCAGCAGTGCAAATCTCTCTTCATTCTGTGATTACGCGGTGTAGAGCTGGATGAACACGGCAGGTCAGGCAGCATCAGAGGAGCAGGAAAGCTGACGTTTCGGGTCTGGACCCATCTTCAGAAATGGTGGAGGGGAAGGGGGTTCTGAAATAAATAGAGAGAGGGGGAGGTGATGATGGAAGATGGATAAAGGAGCGGATAGGTGGAGAGAGGATGGACAGGTCAAGGAGGCGGGGATGGAGCCAGTAAAGGTAAGTGTAGGTAGGCAGTTGGGATGGGGGTTGGTCAGTTGGGAGGGTGGGTGGGAGGGAAGACGGACAGGTCAGGGAGGCGGGGATGAGGCTAGTAGGTAGGAAGTGGGGATGGGGGTTGGTCAGTGAGGTGGGAGGAGCGGATAGGTGGGAGAAAAGACGGACAGGTCAAGGAGGCAGGGATGAACTGGACTGGTCTTGGGATGAGGTCGGGGGTGGGGAGATTTTGAAGCTTGTGAAGTCCACATTGAGATCATTGGGCTGCAGGGTTCCCAAGCGAAATATGAGGTGCTGTTCCTCCAGCCTTTGGGTGGCATCATTGTGGCACTGGAGGAGGCCCAGGATGGACATGTTGTCCAAGGAGTGGGAGGGGGAGTTGAAGTGGTTCGCGACTGGGAGGTGCAGTCGTTTGTCACAAACCGAGCATAGGCGTTCCACAAAGCGGTCTCCAAGCCTCTGCTTGGTTTACCTGATGTAGAGGAGGCCACATCGGGAACAGCGGATACAATATAGCACATTAGCAGATGTGCAGGTGAACATCTGTTTGATGTGGAAGGTTTTCTTGGGGCCTGGGATGGGGGTGAGGGGGGGAGGTGTAGCACTTCCTGCAGTTGCAGGGAAAAGTGCCGGGTGTGGTGGGGCTAGTGGGGAGTTTGGAGTGGACAAGGGATTCACAGAGATAGCGGTCTCTCCGGGAGGCAGATAAGGGTGGGGAGAACCCCACTACCAAGGACATTTTTCCCTGCCCACCCTTATCTGCCTTCCGGAGGGACCACTCTCTCCTTGAATCCCTCGTCTGGTCCATGGTCCCCACCATCCCCACCACCGCTGGCACTTTTCCTCATACAAAAAGCCATTCTCACTTGTGAATAAATAGTATCCCATATCCACAGCCTCTACATGAACACATTTTTCAGCAACCAAAGTACTTTTTACAGCCCTTCTTATTTTCTCAACTTCCCAAGCTAAAAGATTATATTCTCCTTTCTCATCCTGAAGGTAAGGCTGCAGTGGAATATTATCAGGGAAGGTGGCATGTCATTAACATGTCTGATTTGATCTGTCATCATGGTTTAAGTTTTGAGTCTTTGGGTTCTGATCTGCACTTCAAAGAGTTTGGCTGCCTTAGAGTCTTCTGGTTGTGCGTTACCCTAATTGTTTCTCCCATGAAATGATTGACTGATGTGTCACTCTGTAAAGGTTTTGCAGCTCTTTGATTTACAATACCCATGCTGATCTCTGACATATATATCTCTCTGATACATGTTGTTTCATACTTTTTCACTACCCCCAGCATGTGACTACTGATGCCACTATTATCATAATCCCATTGTACTACAAGCCTGCCAATTTTCTCTCAATTTTCATGTTAACATTATTTAACTATTTCTTTAGACTATTTACATTCACCGGATTTCCCCTCCTCTAAAGCCTGAACTTCATTGGCTGAATCTGAGATAGTTGTGTAACCCTGACCTTGTTCTCATCACCATTGACTGAAGATGATGGTCTTTAACCATTTCTGTAAGACAGTTATCGCTCTGTAGAGTATATAATGAAGTTCTTTTCACATTACTCCAAATCTTGTGGTCATTACACTAGTTCATTCTCATTGCCTTGTGTAATATTAGAGCCTCTTTGTTCCCTCTGAATGTTCCAACTGGAGTTTGAACAAGAAGACATTTCTGAAGAAGGGTCCAGACCCGAAACGTCAGCTTTCCTGCTCCTCTGATGCTGCCTGGCCTGCTGTGTTCCTCCAGCTCCACACTGTATTATCTCTGACTCCAGCATCGGCAGTTCTTACTATCTCTCATAAGAATATAGGTGCTGTGTCTGCTTGAGCACTGTACCTTCTGGTTTACTATCTCCGGCCCATACCTTGTAGCCGGGTACCAAAGTTGATGAGATCATTGCTCTATGCATGGAATTATACCTGTTCTTTTGCTTCTCTTTTGGTCATTCTCAATTGTTCTTGTTCTCTTGCGATCTTGGGGTGTGGTATTTGGTTGAGGTCTTGCATTAGCAAAGAATTTGTATTTTTAGCCTTCTGACCATGAGTGCCTCTGAAATTGAAAGGTAAAGCCGAATCACAATCACTATTCTTACTCTTTATTATCTTCATGGTTTTCACTGCTTTCTCGGCTTTCCCGCTGGTCTTTGGATGAAAAGGAGAACTCACGACATGATTAATTCCAGATCCTGTTGTGAATCTTTTAAAAGTCTTCATTCACAAGTTGTGGACCCATGTCTGAAACACACTCATTTGGAAATCCATGTGTGGAAAAGATTTTCTTCGGTCATTTGATCACTGTCTCAGTTGCCGTAACATGAAATCTGCCACTTGGTGCAGCGGTCTACCGTAATCAAATATGCTTTCCCTTGAAAGTTGAAGCAGTCTAGTCCTAACCTTTGGTTTGTTTGGGAGACTACAAGATAATAGGCATTCCAATGGAGTTTGGCTATTGATTTGCACTAAAATGGCAGGACAACATTTAATCTGCAATTTCTTTTGAAATTTCTGGCCACATTATGGACTGTTGTACAGAGGCTGTACACAAGTGACCTTCATGGATTCTGTGAAGAATTTCTTCCCTCATAGCATTTGGTGTTAATACTGCAAGATCATTTAATATGTTCAAATGGTTCCTTTGTTCAGTTTGGACAGTTTTGACGAATCTGCTGAGCAGAATTTTCTGATCTGGGTGTGTTATACATTTTCCTTTATACATTTCTTGTAACTTCTTCTCGGAAACTAGTGAAGAATTTGTTATGACTCAGAATATGTTTCTACTTGCCAAATAAGAACTAAATCTTCAGCTTCAGTTTGATCTACTGACAATGTATCAGCTGTGGTCTGACTTTTTGCTCAAGACAAAGAATGTTGCATGAACCTTTGGATACACAATGACATTTTAACTATCTCTTTGGAATTCAATTGTTTAACTGAAGATTTGTAGTCTGTCTCAATCTGAAAATTCCAGCAGGTTGTCTGAGAATTATTCACATCTCCACATTACTGCCAAGGTCTCTTTCTCTGTGGTTGCATAATATTGCTCTCTTTCAGTTTACGGTCTGGAAGTTAAGTTAAATTGATTTTTATTTCACCAACATCCTGGACCTGATTAAATTCTGTCCTTTAGCCTGTTGAGGATAAATCTGCTGCCACCACCATCGACTACTTGGGAATATAATGCACCAGAAAACCTGAAGATGCTGATCGCTTTTTTTATCTGCTGAATTGCTCTGGTTTGCTCATTCTCC